TGCCACAAACAACATAAAATACCTTGGGGTAACGCTAACCAAACAAGTGAAAGACCTGTATCGTAAGAACTTTGAATCTTTAAAGAAAGAAATTAAAGAAGCCCTCAGAAAATGGAAAGATCTCCCATGCTCTTGGATAGGTAGGATCAATGTAGTAAAAATGGCAATCCTGCCAAAAGCAATCTACAGATTCAATGCTATCCCCATTAAAATCCCAGCACAATTCTTCACAGACCTTGAAAGAACAATAATCAATTTTGTATGGAAAAACAAAAGACCCAGGATAGCCAAAACAACCCTGTTCAACAAGGCAACGTCCGGAGGCATCACTATCCCTGACCTCAAGCTCTATTATAGAGCTATAGTCCTGAAAACAGCTTGGTATTGGCACAAAAATAGACAGGCAGACCAATGGAATCGAATTGAAAATCCGGGTATTAACCCACACACGTACGAACATCTGATCTTTGACAAAGAAGCTAAAAATATACAATGGAATAAAGAAAGCATCTTCAACAAATGGTGCTGGCATAATTGGAGACTGGCATGTAGAAAAATGCGGATCGATCCATGTTTATCGCCATGCACAAAACTTAAGTCCAAATGGATCAAAGACCTCAACATAAATCCAGCCACACTGAACCTCTTAGAAGAGAAAGTGGGTGGTACCCTTGAACGAATTGGTACAGGAGACAGCTTCCTGAACATAACACCAGTAGCACAGACAGTGAGATCAACAATTAATAAATGGGACCTAGTGAAACTGAGAAGCTTCTGTAAGGCAAAGGACACAGTCAGCAAGACAAAAAGGCAGCCCACAGAATGGGAAAAATATTCACTAATCCCACATCTGACAGAGGGTTGATCTCCAAAATTTACAAAGAACTCAAGAAGCAAGTCTCCAAAACAGCAAAGGACCCAATTAAGAAGTGGGATGCAGAACTAAATAGAGAGTTTTCAATAGAGGAGTCTAAAATGGCTGAGAGGCACTTGAAAAAGTGCTCAACATCCTTAGCCAGCCGGGAAATGCAAATCAAAGCAACTCTGAGATACCATCTCACTCCTGTCAGAATGGCTAAAATCAAAAACACCAATGACAATTTATGCTGGAGAGGATGTGGTGAAAGGGGGACACTCCTCCATTGCTGGTGGGAGTGCCAACTGGTTCAGCCACTTTGGAAAGCAGTATGGAGATTCCTCAGAAAAATGGGAATAAACCTACCACAAGACCCAGCAACTGCACTCTTAGGCATATATCCAAAAGATGCCCATTCGTATAACAAAGATGTCTGTTCCACTATGTTCATAGCAGCTTTATTTGTAATAGCCAGAACTTGGAAGCAACCTAGATGTCCCTCACCCGAAGAATGGATAGAGAAAATGTGGTACATCTACACAATGGAGTACTATTCAGCAGAAAAAAATAATGGAATCATGAGATTCGCAGGCAAATGGATGACACTAGAAGAAACCATCCTGAGTGAGGTAACCCAGTCACAAAAAGAGAAACATGGCATGTACTCTCTCATATATGGATTTTAGACATAGATCTGGGGAGTGCCAGCCTACAATCCTATTGCCAGAGAGTCTGGGAAACAGAAACTTCATTTACTGGCTGGTTAAGTACTGAGCTGAACTCAAGAAATCCAGTATCAGAGAGGGAGGACTGATGATCAAAGGGATTAAGACTGGGCTGGTTGAACCCCCAGAAACAGCTGACCAGACAAAGGTTAACTCTTGAATCCCAGGCATCAGCCTGGGAATCCAGCATGGGACTGATCAAGACCCCCTGAATCTGGGTGTCAGTGAGGAGGCCTAGGTAATCTATTGAGCCTTGGACAGCAGATCAGTACCCATCCCAAGTATACACACGGTCTCTGGACTCCCATAGAACAATGTGAGGTGCACTCTCACCCTGAACTCTTGGGGAAGGGTCTAGGCCCTGCCCTATATGAAATGACAGACTATGGACACCCCCATGGAGGGCCTCACCCTCCCTGGGGGAATGAGGGGATAACGGGGGGGGATTGGGGGAGGGCACGGGAGGAGGGGAGGGAAAGGGAGAGGGACCTTGTACTGACTTGTGAAGCAACCTTGTTTCTTATCTAAATTTAAAATGGAAAATAAAAAAAAATTAATTAAAAAAAATGTAACCGGGCAGTGGTGGCTCATGCCTTTAATCCCAGCACTAGGGAGGCAGAGGGAGGCGGATCTCTGGGAGTTCAAGGCCGGGCTGGACCGATAGCCTCCAAAACAATACAGAGAAACCCTGTCTCATAAAAACAAACAAAAAATTATAAATGTATTCTATACATTTCCACAGAAGTTTAAGAAAGTGACTCACAATAATCATAACTTCATTATAGAGTTATTAAAATAATGTTGGGGAAAAGAGCCTTTATATTTGCCAGGTTTGGTGGCATGAATTTGGAATTCATGTCTTATTTAATTATGTTCCTCCTTTAGATAGTATAATACAGAACAAGTTCTCTGGTTTTATTTGATTCATTTATTTATTCTACTTGTTTCCCTGACACAAGTCTAGATTATTTATAAAGTATTTCTCAGTGCTTGAGATTGCTTAGTATTTGTTCAGTTTCAAATCACATATTTTTTTACACAAGTGTTTCATGTTGTCTTTATTCCTAGTTTGGTGATGCTGAGTTACTTAAAGTGATCAAAACTTTAAGAGTGTTGCTTTCTCATTAATAATGTGTGAGTTAATATGTTGTGATTTTTGTAAATACTTAGTACACAGGTTAAAAGTTTTTTTAAGTGCTTTCATACAGTATATTTTGATCATTAGAAGTTTTTTAAAGGATTTCTCTGTATTGTCTTGTTTTGGTGGCTGTTCTGGAACTTGCTCTGTATACCAGGCTGGCCTTGAACTAACAGACATCCACCTGCCTCTGCCTCCTGGGTGCTGGGGTTAAAGTTGTGGGCCACCAACCCACGGCTCATTAGAAGATTTTTAACAGGTGATGATTCTTAATCATATGCACAGTAGAAACAATGTTTAGATATCCTGATGATTTTTATTTAAATTTATATTTTGAGGTTCAAGACAGACTTAACCAAGCTGGCCTCAAACTCAGATACACACCTGGCTCTGCTTCCAAAGTGCTGTGATTAAAGTTGTATGATATTTATGCCTGTCTTGATATTTATATTATGTCTGTATTTTGCCTGTGTGGACCACCCAGAACTGTGAGTCACAATTCTTATTTTGATTTTGAGGTACTAAGAATAGGATATAAGATATATTAATGAAACAATTCATAAAACAAATGAAAAAGAATATACTCCCCCACCTGTTTTCTTCTGTTAGGAGTCAGTAAGGCTCCTTTTTCTTTTTTCTTAAGGCTTCATGGGTTTTTCTGTTTTGTTTTTTTCAAGACAGCATTTCTTAGTAGTTATGTAGCCTACCCTGGAACTCACACTGTAGACCTGGTCTCTAGACCAGGCTGGCCTTAAATTCAGAGATCTTCCTTACCTCTTCCTCCCCAGTGCTGGGATTAAAGGCATGCTATAAGATTGCCTGGCTCATTTTTGGTGTTTCCAGATGGGTTATCTTTGGTAGTCCTGGCTGTCCTGGAACCCATTCTATTGATCAGGCTGATCTCAAACTCTGCCTTCTGAGAGATAGGATTAAAGTGTGACACAGCTGCCTGGTTAAGGCTTTATGTTTTTTGTTTAAGCAATTGGTTTTATGTCTCATGTTTATGGGAGACTTAGTAAATCATTTTAACAAGCTTAGTTGCTGGCATTATTGTGCTAAGATTTTTCTTTTTGTGGTGTTGGTATTTTGAAACTGGGTCTCACATTGTGACCCATTCTGCCATTAAAATTGTTTGTTCTACTTCAGACTCCTGGATCACAGGGGTCAACTACCACAATCTGTAGCCTTTAATTGTCATCTTACTTGTCTTGAAAACTATTTCATATTGTTAAGTGGTGAATTCTTATTTTTTTAAGAAATGTGGTTTGGTGCTCAGCAGGAAGAGAGTACAATGTGCTTATAGAAAACTCCAATGTATACATATCTTCTTTATTTGTTGCTACCATTTTAACCCGCTTGCATAATTCACTTAACTTTTTTTACTTTAGTTTTTGTATTAGAACATATTAAAACATAATTGAAAAAGTTTTGACTGAAATTTGGGATTGAAAGATTCAAAAGTTGAAACAAAAATGAGGTAGAAGAGGAAAACTTAATACATTAAACTGAAAAAATCTGGTAGTTTCTTCTTAAACAATTATTTAGAGTCTGTTGCTGATCTTGGAGTTTGTAGATTCTAGTTAGTATAGCTAGCCAGCTTGGCCAGGGCTTTCCCTTGTTTGCCTCTGGGTTGCTGGTATTACTAGGGGTTGCTGTGTTACATCTGCTCTTGTGTGAGTACTTGCTATCCATTTTTGGTTTTGTTTTGTTTTTCAAGACAGGGTTTCTCCGTATTGTTTTGGAGGCTGTCCTGGAACTGGCTCAGTAGACCATGCTTGCCTTGAACTCACAGAGATCCGCCTGCCTCTGCCTCGCGAATGCTGGGAATAAAGGCGTGGGCCAACAATGCAAGGCTGAGTACTAGGTATCCTAAGTATTGTCCTCACACTCCTATGTCAGCTGCTACCCAGCTGCAAAGACTTATTACTTTTGAAGTAAATTAACTTTCATTCTAAACAGAAACACTGTTTAACTCCCTGCACTTCTTTCTCCTTTTGATACTATGGATTAAGTACAGTGATTCATATATACAATTGTTGGTACATCCTCTTGATTTAGAAATATCTTTATTATGGATAATTTATACATGTATAAAATTGAGATGGAGCAGCAACTCCAAGTTTATCATCATACAACTTTAATAATTATCAGTTTAAGGTCAGTCATTTCACTGGTCATTTTGTTGTGTCTATCTATCTATCTATTTACCTATCTATCATCTATCTAATCTTTTTCTCTTTGCAGCCTTTGCTGTCCTTGTACTCTGTAGCCTGGTCTGAAATTCTCCCGGATCTGCCTCTTCCTCCAAGTGCTGCGATCCAAGGTGTGTACCACACTGCTTGGATTTTTCGCTTTCTATATTTTAGTATAAATTCTGAATCATAAAAATTTTGTTTTGCTCCTTTGCCTTGTTGGGGAAAATGGGGCTATAGGAAAAATATCCAAAATAAATTCATAATAGCTAAAGATACTGGTTGTTCTTCCTAATGTAGAAAAATATAGTCATGTTGTTCAGTTAATATTTAAGTACTTGTTTAGGGTTCTTTATTGTTAGATTTTAAATGTTTATTTCATTCAGGATCTGTATGAGCTTTCTATATCCTCATTTGCTCTTAGTTAAATAAAGTACTTAATTTCAATTTTTCTCCTTTCTTCTTGTTTTGTGTTTACATAACATGCATGCACGCGTGCACACACACACACACACACAGAGTCAGTTTACAGATGTTAAATGTGAAATGGTTATTAGAGGGCTAATGAGCAGGGGTGGAGTGATGACATCAGTATCATCATAAGTAAAGTCCTTAGTCATTTTACATTGCTGTATAAATTACTTTTTATAACTTAATATTCATCACAATTTTTTATTGCTAGCTTTTGGATTTTGTGAGTATAAAGAGCCTGAATCTGCCATCCGTGCTCTCAGATTATTTCATGACTTTCAGATTGGAGAGAAGAAGGTAATTGCCAAAGTTGATGCAAAGACAAAAGCACAATTGGATGAGTGGAAAGCAAAGAAGAAGGCTTCTAATGGGGTATGCAATATCTTTTCTAGTCTGGGTGTGCTTGTTCAGTGTGAATAATTCATATTGCAATAAGTCTAACATGGGAACTCGCAAGATCATTATTGTAATATGTGCTTATGGATTATGGAGGAGTGTATTTTTGTAGTTTGTATATAAGTGTTTTATCTACACACAGAGGGTGGATGACTGTTGGTTTGCTTGATCCAGGTTGGGATTAAGGTAGTAATGGAGGCTGGACAAGGTTAACTAGCCAGAGAAAACACTTGCACAGACTATTCCAAGCAGAGCTAATTCATTAAGGCAGCTTGGTAAGTAAGTATAAAATATATTTCAACCTACCCAATGTTTATTAGTTACCCTCTCTTATAGACGCACACAGATTGGGTTTTAAAGTGATTAAAAATAATTTGTACTATTTAATGTATTGGGGTGATTTTTTTGTTTTTCTTTCTTTTTTTAATTTTATTTATTTATTTATTTAAATTAGAAACAAGCTTGTTTGTTTTTTTTTAATTTAGATAAGAAACAAGGTTGCTTCACAAGTCAGTTCCAGGTCCCTCTCCCTTTCCCTCCCTTCCTCCCGTGCCCTCCCCCATCCCCCCCTGTTATCCCCTCGTTCCCCCAGGGAGGGTGAGGCCCTCCATGGGGGTGTCCATAGTCTGTCATTTCATATAGGGCAGGGCCTAGACCCTTCCCCAAGAGTTCAGGGTGAGACTGCACCTCACATTGTTCTGTGGGAGTCCAAAGTCCGTGTGTATACTTGGTATGGGTACTGATCTGCTGCCCAAGGCTCAATAGATTACCTAGGCCTCCTCACTGACACCCAGATTCAGGGGGTCTTGATCAGTCCCATGCTGGATTCCCAGGCTGATGCCTGGGATTCAAGAGTTAACCTTTGTCTGGTCAGCTGTTTCTGGGGGTTAAACCAGCCCAGTCTTAATCCCTTTGATCATCAGTCCTCCCTCTCTGATACTGGCTTTCTTGAGTTCAGCTCAGTACTTAACCAGCCATTAAGTGTAGTTTCTGTTTCCCAGACTGTCTGGCCATAGGATTGTAGGCTGGCACTCCCCAGATCTATGTCTAAAATCCATATATGAGAGAGTACATGCCATGTTTCTCTTTTTGTGACTGGGTTACCTCACTCAGGATGGTTTCTTCTAGTGTCATCCATTTGCCTGCGAATCTCATGATTCCATTATTTTTTTCTGCTGAATAGTACTCCATTGTGTAGATGTACCACATTTTCTCTATCCACTCTTCGGGTGAGGGACATCTAGGTTGCTTCCAAGTTCTGGCTATTACAAATAAAGCTGCTATGAACATATTGGAACAGACATCTTTGTTGTATGAATGGGCATCTTTTGGGTATATGCCTAAGAGTGGAGTTGCTGGGTCTTGTGGTAGGTTTATTCCCATTTTTCTGAGGAATCTCCATACTGCTTTCCAAAGTGGCTGGACCAGTTGGCACTCCCAAGATGCAATGGAGGAGTGTCCCCGTTTCACCACATCCTCTCCAGCATAAATTGTCATTGGTGTTTTTGATTTTAGCCATTCTGACAGGAGTGAGATGGTATCTCAGAGTTGTTTTGATTTGCATTTCCCGGATGGCTAAGGATGTTGAGCACTTTCTCAAGTGCCTCTCAGCCATTTTAGACTCCTTTATTGAAAACTCTCTATTTAGTTCTGCAGCCCACTTTTTAATTGGGTCCTTTGCTGTTTTGGAGACTTGCTTCTTGAGTTCTTTGTAAATTTTGGAGATCAACCCTCTGTCAGATGTGGGATTAGTGAATATTTTTTCCCATTCTGTGGGCTGCATTTTTGTCTTTCTGACTGTGTCCTTTGCCTTACAGAAGCTTCTCAGTTTCAGGAGGTCCCATTTATTAATTGTTGATCTCACTGTCTGTGCTACTGGTGTTATGTTCAGGAAGCTGTCTCCTGTACCAATTCGTTCAAGGGTACCACCCACTTTCTCTTCTATGAGGTTCAGTGTGGCTGGATTTATGTTGAGGTCTTTGATCCATTTGGACTTAAGTTATGTGCATGGCGATAAACATGGATCGATCCGCATCATTCTACATGCCAGTCTCCAATTATGCCAGCACCATTTGTTGAAGATGCTTTCTTTATTCCATTGTATATTTTTAGCTTCTTGTCAAAGATCAGATGTTCGTACGTGTGTGGGTTAATACCTGGATTTTCAATTCGATTCCATTGGTCTACCTGTCTATTTTTGTGCCAATACCAAGCTGTTTTCAGGACTATAGCTCTATAATAGATGGATTTTCGTATGTTGAACAATACCTGCTTCCCTGGGATGAAACCTACTTGATCTTGGTGAATGATTGTTTTGATGTGTTCGTGGAACCGATTTGCCAGTATTTTATTGAGTATTTTTGCATCAATGTTCATGAGGGATATTGGTCTGAAGTTCTCTTTCTTGGTTGTATCTTTGTGTGGCTTGGGGATCAAGGTTATTGAAGCCTCATAGAAAGAGTTTGGCAAAGACCCTTCTGCTTCTATTGTGTGGAACACTTTGAGAAGAATTGGTATAAGCTGTTCTTTGAATTTATGGTAGAATTCTGCACTGAGGCCATCTGGACCTGGACTTTTTTTGGTTGGGAGACTTTTGATGACAGCTTCTATTTCCATAGGGGTTATAGGTCTATTTAAATTGCTTATCTGTTCTTGATTTAGTTTTGGCAAATGATAGCTGTCCAGGAAGTCATCTATTTCCTTTAAATTTTCGAATTTTGTGGAGTACAGGTTTTCAAAGTATGACCTAATGATTCTCTGGATTTCCTCAGAGTCTGTTGTTATGTCCCCCTTTTCATTTCTGATTTTGTTAATTTGCGTGTTCACTCTCTGCTGTTTGGTAAGTTTGGACAAAGGTTTGCCTATCTTGTTGATTTTCTCAAAGAACCAACTCTTCGTTGCATTGATTCTTTGTATTGTTTTCCTGGTTTCTACTTTGTTGATTTCAGCCCTCAATTTGATTATTTCCTGGCGTCTACTCCTCCTGGGGAGTTTGCTTCTTTGTGTTCTAGAGCTTTTAGCTGTGATGTTAATTCTCTGGTATAACTGTTTTCCTGTTTCTTCATGTGAGCACTTAGTGCTATGAACTTCCCCGTAGCACTGCTTTCAAAGTGTCCCATAGGTTTGGGTATGTTGTGTCTCATTGAATTCGAGGAAGTCTTTAATTTCTATTTTTATTTCCTCTTTGACCCAGGGATGGTGCAGTTGAGCATTATTCAATTTCCATGAGTTTGTAGGTTTTCTGCAGTTTGTGTTGTTGTTGAATTCAAATTTTAAGGCATGGTGGTCTGATAAGATGCATGGAGTTATTCCAATTTTTTTGTAGCTGCTGAGGTTTGATATGTTGCCAAGTATGTGGTCGATTTTTGAGAAGGTTCCATGTGGTGGTGAGAAGAAGGTATATTCTTTTTTATGTGGATGAAATGTTCTATAGATATCTGTTAATCCCAGTTGGGTCATTACTTCTATTAGACCCTTTGCTTCTTTGTTGAGTTTCTGTCTTGTATTCTTGTCTAGTGGTGAGAGTGGTGTGTTGAAATCTCCCACTATAACTGTGTGGGGCTTTAGATGAGATTTAATTTCTAATAATGTTTCTTTAATGAATGTGGATGCCTTTGTATTGGGGGCATAGATGTTCAGGATAGACACTTCATCTTGGTGGGTTTCACCTGTGATGAGTATGTAATGACCTTCTTTATCTCTTTTGATTGATTTTATTTTAAAGTCTAGTTTGTTAGATATTAGGATTGCTACCCCTGCTTGTTTCTTGGGTCCATTTGATTGAAAAATTTTTTCCCAACCGTTAACTCTCAGGTAATGTCTGTCTTTGAGGGTGAGGTGTGTTTCTTGTATGCAGCAGAAGGAAGGGTTCTGTCTTCGAATCCATTCTGCTAGTCTGTGTCTTTTTATGGGTGAGTTAAGGCCGTTAATATTGAGGGATATTAATGACCATTGATTGCTCATCCTTCTTCGATTTGCGATGGTTGTTGTTGGTGGAATTATGGGTGGAATTTCACCCCTTTGTTCTTTTGGCTGTTGGTAGAGAGGGATTCTCTAATGCTTATGTTTTTCTGGTTGTAGTTAGCTTCCTTGGGTTGGAGTTTTCCTTCCAAATTTTCTGTAGGGCTGGGTAGGTGGACACATATTTCTTGAATCTAGTTTTGTCATGGTATATCTTGTTTTCTCCGTCTATAGTGATTGAGAGCTTTGCCGGGTATAGTAGTCTGGGTTGGCACCCATGGTCTCTTAGTGTAGGTAGAATATCTATCCAGGACCTTCTGGCTTTCAGAGTTTCCATGGAGAAATCAGGTGTAATTCTGATAGGTCTGCCTTTATATGTTACTTGACCTTTTTCCTTAATTGCTCTTAATATTCTTTCTTTATTCTGTATGTTTGGGGTCTTGATTATTATGTGGCGAGGGGATTTTTTTGTGGTCCACTCTATTTGGTGTTCTGTAGGCTTCTTGTACCTTCATTGGCATGTCTTTCTTAAGGTTGGGAAAGTTTTCTTCTATGATTTTGTTGAATATGCCTTCTGCCCCTTTGAGGTGGATTTCTTCTCCTTCTTCTATACCTATTATTCTTAGGTTTGGTCCTTTCATGGTGTCCCATAATTCCTGGATGTTTTGTGTTAAGGATTTGTTGGATTTAAGGTTTTCTTTGGTTGATAAATCCATTTCTCCTAGTGTATCTTCAACACTTGAGATTCTCTCTTCCATCTCTTCTATTCTGTTGGTAATGCTTGTATTGGTAGTGCCTGACTGTTTGTCCAGCTTTTCTATTTTCTGCCTTTCTTCAGATTGTGTTTTTTAATGTCTCTATTTCAGTTTTCAACCCTTGCAGCGTTTGCATTGCTTCTTGCAATTTTCTGTTTATCTGTTCGTCTGTTTATGAAGCCATTTATGAACTTTTTGGTTTGTTCTTTCTTCCATTTCTTGCATTTTTTGGTTTGCTTTATGTTCCATTTCTTGGATTTTGTGCTTTGTTTCTTCTTCCATTTCCTGCCCTTTTTGGTTTGTTTCTTCTTTCATTTTTTTCATTTTTTGCTTTGTTTTTTCTACCATTTCTTGCATTTTTTGTTTTGTTTCTTCTTCCATTTCCTGCCTTTTTTGGTATGTTTCTTCTTCCAATTCTTGCATTTTTTGCTTTGTTTTTTCTTCCATTTCTTGCATTTTTGCTTCATTTCTTCTTCCATTTCGTGCCTTTTTTGGTTTGTTTTTTCTTCCAATTCTTGCATTTTTTGGTTTGTTTTTCTTCCATTTCTTGCATTTTTTGGTTTGTTTTTTCTTCCATTTCTTTGAGGGATTTTCCAATATCCTCTTTTAGGGCC